ATGAGATTCAGAAATTTTACTATTAAATGTGGTTTGGACTGCATATCTTCTTTTAAACAAGTGCGAATATAAATATTTAATATTTGAAGTATATCAGTCTATCTCCGAATTTCCATCTTAAAAGGGGAAAATTTTCTAAAAATATGTTTTCAGAACATAAACAACTGAACAAAATAAAATTTACAATGACACTTTTTTGTAGACTTGCAGGTTTTTCTGAATATGAACATTCGGACGCGACATAGAACTTTTTTTCTCTCTGTTTTTCAACTATTTGTCTTTAAACTCTTGATTTATGTCAAGATTACACATATTCCTGCCGAAATCTACTGTTTGACCTGCTTTATTTATTATCTCAAACATAAAGATTAGTTTCTGCATATTTTTATAACCTTCCTCTACCTGTTTGACATGTTAAAAATTGTGCAAATTCAATCCCAAATGCGCATAGATATTGTAGTCATTTAAAAGTGAAATGAACTCATTTTCGTCATTTTAAAATGCGTGTGAAAACTAATAATGTATTTTACGTTCTGAAGAGGTGTAGCAAAATAATCAAAATTACATAAAACATTACAAAATCGAAAAAAAAAAAGATTACGCGTTCAATTAATAGCTCTGATTAAAATGCAACCATTACATAATAGGCTTAGTTTTTGTTTCCCTTTTTTTATCTGTTGAATTACATAAATACATCTTAAAATGGCGAAGTTGCGCTTTCATCAAATATTTGTCAATTTTAGTTTGAAATTATAATTTTAATTTTTGCTTTCCAGAAATGAATATGCATTTTATCTCACATCTTTAACTGATGGTATTGTAGCTTCTTCATATATAAACCGAGTGATTAAACAGTAGCACTCTTGGCAATGACAGAAAAGAATATTTTGTCTTTCGAGACGCCATGAACATTTTGGGTTTCAAATTATCTCCAAGCAAGATTGCGTTTTGCTTATTTTTAAAGCAGAGAAAATTTTGATTTCATATGGCTGCAGCAATGCTTGCCTATTTTGTTGTTTTGAAACACCACACTAGAATTTGCTCAGAATTCTACTTTTGTAACATATCTATGTATATTTGGAATCAACGTATAAACCAAAATGACAATTTTTTGAATTCTTTTAACAGTCCGATGAAACATACTTTTTTAGTCATTCGGTCAAAAATCAGAATATTGTTATTTTCATATATTTGAAGAAACATAAAACTGTGAATTTATTTTGCCTTAAAATAGAATAAATTACCACAGTTAGATTAATTCAACTTTCAACCACCGAATTAAAAATGGAGGAATGTATGAGTTATTCATATCACAATATTTTAATTCTTTCATCTTTTTTTCTGGATTTTTTATATCAGAATGCGAGTTTGTGCGCATAGTCCACAAACGATTGCTAACAATTACTGGATTATGAAGGATTGATGTCTTGAAATTTATGCAGATTAGATTGGCACAAATAAATAATCTGAATTTTAATATGTAGTTCTCTCTGGACATATAAGCTATGTTTATAAGTAAATAGTCCCAGTAAGATGTTCATGTCAAATAAGAATTACATTTGAAACGTAAAGATGCTTTACAGAGTTCTGAATTATCGAAACTCTGCTGTATATATTAACAACTGAAGACTGTGTAAAATAAGTGGGCTGTTCTGTTAAACAAAGCTATGAAGAATGAGCTTTTCATTGCATACAGATATTAGAATATGTAATTTTATACCGTTCGTTTCTGTTAACTAACGAGTTAGATTTCTGATGAAATCTAAGGTGACACAACATTAGTTCTCAAATCAATGCTGTAGTCTGTCAAGACTTCACAGAGACATGTTGCTTAAAAAAGTATAAGGAACATTTTTTACCATTTTTCTTGTAAATCGTACTGCGAAAGAAAATGTCGAGCATGGCTTTTTGAAAGATAAATGGAGAATCGATTCTTGTAGTCAACGAATAATGAAAAAAAAATTGAAACTTCTGATATCAGTCACGTCAATCTTCTAAGCGGGCCGATTAAAATCAAAAATTGGGATAGGACTATCATTTTCAAATTTATCTGTCGAATGCAAGGCCAAGATCAGACATTTCTGAATTACTTCGCTTAGTGCAGTTTGCTGTAATTACTCGGAGTTCTAATTCTGTTTTGAAAATTTTAGTGATTCGACTTAATTTATTATACGATCGATTTGAACTGCGCTCTATTCTAACATTACTATTAAAACATTTTCTGAAAAGTTCTTAATTGAAACTGTTCCAAGAATGTATTAAAAAGGTGCATAGATTTTAAAATAAAATACGAGTTATAAGTTAGATGACTGGTTAAAAAAACACCACTATTGATTTCACATTTCTTTAGAGTATGTTTAATCTGCTTCTGAAAGTTCACCTTACTGGACGATCGTATATAGAATGTTGTAGAATTAATTCCTTCAGTCTTTGAAAGACAAAACAATTTTATTTAAATTCCCAGAATAAGTTTTAACGCTTTTAAATTTCGATCTTTGATAATAAAAATTAAGAAGTTTAAACGTGCATACTTTAATACACCAATTTAAAAAATTGTCCGTGAACTAAAATTCGCTATTAAAGGCCCAAGAAGTTACAGAATGATTTAAGTGGTCATACCTCCCTTAAAAGGCTAAAACGTCGAGTAAATTGGACCATTTCAAACTACTGTATCTCATAATATATAAACAGGAAACAAATAAATTTTTTACAGAAGACGTGACTAAGCTTATAAAATACAAAAAAAAAATTATTTAATAATGCTGAAATCTATATGGCACTTTACGTAATCTGAAAATGTAATATCAGCTTGCGCGCAAGATTACTCCTAAATTATATGCTTTTTCAAAATATTTTCATCTGTAATATATTTATTATAGTCTTATTATAATTTTGAACCTTTAAAATTTTAAATATATATAAATTTTACATTTTTTAAAAACAGTGGTTTTATGTTACTGAAAATAGCATACCTTTTATTACTTTGAGAACCCAGAAAAATAACAAAATATAAATGGAAATTGAAACTTTTAGGTTCAGGTTATAGCAAGTTACATATTGTATCTGTGATACAACTTTCATTAGAATATATTGAATCTTTCAATTGTTATGATGCGCGCAATAATGAAAAATCATGTTTTGAGAAAAATGACTTTAAAGTTTTTTGCACCACATATTACCCAATAACTATTATTATTGCACCTTAATTTTATATAAAATGAAAAACTTATCACCTGATATTGTTTTCTTTACTTATTTTGTATTTGATAGAAATTTCAACTGTTTACACAACATTCACACAAACACGGCAATTCATGTCGTGATGTGAAATTACACCGAATAGCAAAAATGCACAAAATATATCAATACAGATTCATCATATAATAATTATACACCCACTATTAGCATTAAAATGCTTCTGAAAGGTATGTTACTCCTTCAGCTTTATGAGTCTTTTTAATTTCATGCAGTTTTGCATGACGCTTGGCGCGACGAGCATCAATCATACGAGCTATTACTCGTTTCTTCGAAGAAGTTACACGTTTATAGTCACTCCTGAATTGTGCAGTAATGCAATTAATTCCAGGGTATATATTCAGGTATCTCAGAGTAGATAATCTACCCTTTCTTTCATCATTAAAAAGAGTAACTGCTTCATGAACTGCCAATCATTTATGAGGACTACTGCAAAGCTACCGATGCTCTGCAAAGTACCGCGTAAAATTTAATTGACATTAATTAAATTGAGACAATTATAAAAACGCGTATACGCAAAATCGCCCATCGTAAGTAAGAGTTTTCTGTGTCCCCTAAATTTCATTTAAATATTCTGTTGCGTCTAAAGTGGTCTAATTCTGACAAGGAAGTACTTGCTTAATCTAAATGTGTTTTAGCTTAATTTCATACATATTAAAGTTTCAATAAGTTACAGTAACGCTATTTTGTGTACCTGAAAATAAATTGGCTTTGCTTCGGGTACATCAAAATTCCGATGAAGTCCTTTAACGATCTTGGCCCACCAACGGCCGAGTGGTAAAGTCGCTGAACACTGGTAGTTCGGTCCAAGGTTCGAATTCCGCGAACGAGCTGGCTGCATGGGTGGTTTCGTGGTTTTCCCCACGTATAATGTGTATATGAGCCAGGTTTCCTTAGAACGTCCTCCACGAAAGCCCCTTAGGCAGATAGCCCTCGAGGCTTTGCCGTAATTAAATAACCTAACCTAACCTTTAACGACCAAAAAGTAAAACCACTGAATATTAGTAGTTCGACTGTCAGATTCAGGCTGGCGGTCTGGTTGCAATGGGAGTTTTTATGATTTTCCTTGTGTATATCGTGAATGCGAGCCTATACTTCTACAAAGTCTTATAAAAAGGCTTCTCTCGCATGATTTAACTTTGCTCTAGGAAGCAAATATATTTTCAAAACACATTTAGCTTTTCATATATCCTTTATTACACAAGTGACTGCATGCTGTTACAAGTACTATGAATAGAAGTAGGTATTGTTATAGTCATATTTTAATATCAAAATTTTCTCTCATTGAACTTTGAAATAAAGTCCAAATCTTCTTGTAATGCATGTTATCATTTTGAATTTTGTTTAAATGTATATTAAAAATTTTTGTTCCATAGCAACTTCTTAGTACTCTGCAGTCTTCTCAGCATCAAAATGTGGCATTATAGTGTCTTATTGTTGGTTAAAATGAAAAATCTTAGTATTAATTAAAGTATTATTTCCTGTGGTAAAAAGTCATCTGTAGAATATGTCTTGCCTGTATTTTCTATGTGTTCATTAAATAGTTCACGACAAAAATTTTATGAATAATAATAGTATCTTAGAGTTTTGACTTAATAATAATGCGAAACCATATGTAATTGGCGCTTAAGTAATCAAGGTTCTACGCTATTGAACTGAAGTTAATTGTGGAATTGATACAAAATTTAATGGCTTGCTATACTACTTGAGAATCAAAATGTATAATTATATTCTTTTTTCTCCAGATCACTCAAATGATGACCTACATGTTTACGCTATAATGCTTGGAGTCTTCATCATAATCACAGCTCTCAGTGTGTGCGAAGCTGGTCGATTTGGTTGTCCAACACGGCTTCAGATAAAGCCTTGCCTTTGCCAAGAAAAATCACGCGGCTTGGACATCTCTTGTGAAAATGCGAAAATTGAACAGCTACGAGAAGCTTTTGCAACTGTTGCTCAGACGAAGCAAGCTGTCTGGTACTTGAAACTACGGAACAATCGCCTTGGCAACTTACCGTCCCACCTTCTGACAGGCCTAGATGTTAGGCATTTTATAGCTCTACATTGCAATCTCTCTTCTGTAGATGAATTTGCTTTCAGTGACATTGCAGAAAAGTTGGAAACCTTGGACTTCACTCAAAATGGATTCGAAAAAGTTCCTAGCCAAGCCATGGAGAATCTTTCAGCGCTAGTATCCCTTAATCTGAATCATAATAAACTTGAAATTCTACATGCAGAAGCGTTTAAGGTAACTAAAACATATTTCTTCGGGCTTTTAACATTTTTGAAAAATGATTTCATTGTATGAAATGTCATTATATTAAAATGTATCATTATCTAAATTTGAGTTAATTAGTGTAAAATTTGTCTTACTCTGCTTGAAATGTAAACCTCTCGGAATGATATTTTGAAAGATTATTCAAACCTCTTCATTCAAATGCCTCATTACATGATTTTTATCCATAGCACCGATTCTTAAACTATGATCTGTTGACCCATAGATATTTAGGAGTTAGAAATCATGGATCTATGAGTAATTTTTAAACTAAAATGGGACTTTCTATTTAACTTCATCGAAAAAAACATCACTGTTAAGAAATTTATAGAATTGAAACCTTTACATCATCAAAACTGGGTAAACTTTCGGAACTATAATGGGATGGTTGTGTGAAATTTGCTTTCAAGCAAAATAAGTTTTGCCGATTTCGAGTTGTGAGGGAGTAAACAAAATTTGGAGAAAAAAATTCTTACAAGCAATTGTTACTTTCCTGCGTAATATTGTTAAGAATTTAGTATTAATATTTATCAATTTTAATGAAGTTATAGGTAAATTGCAGAATATCTTAATTAAACATGAAAGGCCTCGTAATGCACCAGAAAAATAGGGTTATAGACGTAACACCATTTAACATTGATTGAGCAAGATAATGTCAATCTATTGATGTTTTCGGCAAGTAATTTTATCCCCAAATTTGTCAAAAAATCACCAGGTTTGGCGACATTTTGGTCCTATCCCTGTGTAACTGTAACTAGTCCGACTCCTATGTAAGTGCGTATGCCTTCCAGCAATTTCGAGAAATCAAAGGTACTGCAAATTTCTCAGTAGGGAAACTATATAAGACGGGAAATAGCATCAGTTAGTTTTATGTTATGTTTTTATGTTAGTTTTATGTTTTTATTGACAGATCACCGTGCGAGCTTTCGCTTTGCATTGCTTTGTAATTAACCTTTTAAGTAGTTTGAAGTAGTAACTACTGATTTAACTCTGTCATTCTGAGAAGAGCTGTACTTTTCTGTGAAAATTTCCAGAACCATACTTTTTTTTTTTTTTTTTTTTTTTTTTTGTATTTATTAATTTATTTATATTACAGAGTTTGACGTTTCAATATCAAACTTCAAATAGGCGTAAAGCAAATTATCGCTCTTTCTGGAGAGAACTACAGAGTTTCGAGAAAGTTTAATAAATCATTTCATTAAATTAGAAAGCTAACGAAAAATGCACATGTCGTGTTAAGCAGGATCAGCCAACCGCTTGTGGTAATGTAATTTAAGGTTACAGTCAAATTCAAGATTTAAAACTAGGCTTATTAGTCAAAGACTACAAAATTTGTTTAACTCGAAGTTGGCTCAAAACATTTAAATTAAACTCAGCTTATTAGTCAAAGATTACAAAATTGGTTTAACTCGAAGTTGGCTGAAAACATTTAAATTAAACTCAGCTTATTAGTCAAAGACTACAAATTTTGTTTAACTCGAAGTTGGCTCAAAACCTTTCGCACCAATGTAAGAAAATGTCGGTAACTGTGATGCAAAGCCGAATAAGACAATCTTATCTAAATTAGCAAAACCTAGTCAATTGGCCTTGAGGAGCAGTAGCACACTTTGTCTTAATCCGAAAAACCTCGGCTTAAATACTCTCGATCCTGATTTGCATTCTGGTAAGGAAACAAGAAGAGAAGTGACAATAGAAATCTAAATCACAAGATAGCTGATTATTCAAAATGATAGTAACCTTAAAATTTTACATTTATTTTTGAAAATAAATTTCACTAAGCATTCATCAGTTCTGTGCGCATTCAATCCATTGTGAACTCGCATGCACGTAAGATCGTGTTTGTACGAAAATTCCTATTCTAACATTGTATTTCCAGACAAGAAAATGTATCGAAGTTAATTGGATATCGAACCATATTTATACTTACGCGCTTTAAATACTGCGTCAGATGTTGCTTATCTAATTGCAAAAGAACTATAGTGGCATCGAGATACGAGTTTAATTCATTCCAGCATTGAGTTCGTATAGCAAATTTCTCGTATCTAGAAACAAACTTCTCCATTGAAAATAATGGAAATCCAGTAAATCCGTTCCGCACCCCCAAATAACACTGGCAAATAATATAACCGTAGTTTAACTTTATGATATCCTCCGACACCGACCACCTTTTAAGTTCTTCTCGTTAATCCACACCAACAACAGCTTCTCAGCATCTTCCAGGAGTTTTGGACGGTGCTTGGAAGTAACGATGACTCCTTTGGCTACATCAAGTTTCTTAATAATTTTTTCCTGCTTCTTCAGAATAGTGCAAATCGTCGATGTCGAAAGGTCGTAAGTCTTCGTCACTCTTACATCACGCTTGTATATCTATGATTTCTTTCTTAATTTCAACGGCCATGGCTTCCTTCTTTTTTTTGCAGCACTATCTGAGGGAACAATCTTCTTGGGATGCATCGTGAAATAATTATTTTGACGTTAAATTTAATAAACAATTAACTCGCGCAAGCACAAACACGTAGATCAAAGAATACGGAGTGATCTGACGAGGAGTATTCCTCCAGTCGGAAATGGCGCCGCGCATACCAACAGCCTGGCTCGTTGCTCGTTACTCGAGTCAAATTTTCGCTCATACTTTACTCGTATCCTCGAATTTCTCGTATATAGAGGTGCTCGTATCTCGAGCAATGGAACTATTATTTTATCACAGAGTCGCTTGGTCAGGAATTTTTATTAAGGTTTGTAAATTAAAGTTGAGATTTTAGTAATTCGTGCAGAGAAATATAAGTAATTTGATTATATAAAAATATGGTCTTATACTACAAAGAAGTGTGCTTTTAATGGTTAAAAGCGGGATGTTAGCAGCTAATTTATGTGAAAATATGATTGTTGCAACTCTCAGGTCTACAACGTGCAGGTTACAAATTAAATAATCACAGCAGGGATTATTAATATAAAGATTTAATATGGATATGTTACACAAGCTGAAAACGTTACATTACTCTATTAAGTGCATACATAACTGATTGAAAAGGGAATTTCCCCGCTTAGTTCGCAGTTAAAGAAAAAATAAGAATAATAAAAAATAGTTCAATCAGATGCGGCGCTCCTTCTGTTGACCTTCGCCGAGCCGTTATGTAATCGTCTGTCTGCAGCCGCCGTCTCCAACAATGATCTCATATTATACTAAGAAGCGTTTTGTTAATAGTCAGAGTTACGGGAAAATGCACATAGTGTGAAAAAAGTCTTGAGAAAAATTTCCATTTATATCTTCTCTAACATAGCTTTGAACTAAGTCTGCTATTTGGATTCGGCAGTAACTCTATCATAATAGTAATTTTAATCTCCAATTTTTAAGGTATTGGATGGTATTTAAACTAAGGCAAAGAAGGAACCTTAGATTGACTCAAATTTTATATATAGTTATATCGATTCTCAAGTCGACTAAAATAGGTCTGTCGTTTTCAAGAGCAAGTAATTTGGCCAAGCCGTTTGGTCCCCCTGAAGCTCTGACCTGCATCACTTATCTGTAACCGTTGGGAAGAAGACCTCAGCAGATTGCTTTTGTTAGGATTTTGAAGAAACTTTCAAACAACTTTCATCAGCGTCACCTACTCTAATATTGCTTCCGCAACCCTCAGGAAGGAATCTCCCAATTTACAAAAGAAAACTTGTAAGTAAGTAGAAGACTTGTAAGTAAGCCTCTTAAGAGGGCTTTAAAGTTCGTGAGTTTACATTCAACTAATTAGTGGTTTTGTTTGTTGTGTTTCTTTTGTTGAAAGATTATTATTTTTTTTTCTTTCTAGTTTCTCTCTTTCATTATAGGCTGTAGGCTGAATATAAGTGCTATAAGTTAGTTTGACAGACAGTAGGATTTATTTTGCATTTCTTTTATTTGTTTACTTCTCCTTAGCTTTTTAGCTAAAGCAATACCATGTTAGATCCTTCAGCAGATAAAGCCTGTATAACCTTTCAACAGCAAAGACCTCTTGAGTTGTTTATAATGAGCTACTAATGCTCTTGAATTCTAATGCCTTTTAACTTTGTGGGATCTAGTTCATTTCGCTAACATAATATGTAACTGGATCTACCTAAGTGTTAATCCTTGCGACTTCTCGCAAAGGCTTGAAGATGAAGACTACCAGGTAAAGGGTGTAAAACACTCTTTATTTGAACACAGTATAGTTTACGGACGGCACGGACTTATGTGCTTACAGACACTGACCACTTGCGCTGATAACGTAAAAGATACGTAATAGAAATAGCACAAGACTAAACAATTCAATTTAATCTAACAGGTTGACTCAGAACTTACACAGGCAAGATTACACAGGTTAACAGCAGTGGAACCTACACAGGTTAACAGCTGGAAGGATAGCAACGTGAGCTCACAAACGCTCTGGCTATTCGCTACATCAGTTTAAATATAGCTAGTTTACATTCTGACGAGGAAACGAGAGGGTAATAAGAGAAAATAGAAAAGGATAACAAATTAAAATAACTACTAGTAAAAATATGTTGACAAAATTTCTCGAATTAATTAACTATAAACTCTGCAAATTATATTAATACCAAATTAAAATAACTACTAGTAAAACAATTGACAAAATTCTTCGAGTTAATTAACTATAAACTCTTCAAATTATATTAATGTCTTTAACTATTCGTTAGTGGATTGCAAACTATAACTTTATCCTATAATATGACTCACTGATGGGTCACTTCCTTCTTGCATCACGAGTCGGTCTGGGCCTTCTACTCTTTTAACTTCAATCTTCCATGTAATTTCTATTCTGATTTTAAGAATGTAAGTGAAGAATTTCAGTAAAATGTATACTATGACTGGAAGCTTAAAGACATTACCCTCTAATTGCTAACTGGTTTGAAAATATTTGGAAAACAGTAAAACTAATTTGAAAGAAACAATAGACCCCAGATTTTTCTCTTATTGTTAATTTTAGAAGGTCAGTAAAATA